CTGCTCAGCTCAGGCCAAGAATTGAACCGCTGTTGCTCAGAGCTCAAACTCTTGAGCAAGCTCTTAACCAACTGAGCCACTCGGCCAGCCCAGTTTTAGTTCTAATGATTAGGTCTTTGATCCTTTTTGGGTGAATTTTTGTACATTGTATAATGTATAAGGTAATTGTATATTGTATAAGGTAAGGGTCAACTTCATTCTTTTCCCAGCACCAATTTTTTCAAAAGGTTGTCCTTTTCCCATTGAATGGTCTTGGTGCCTTTGTCAAAAATCATTTGATCATATATGGGAGAGTTTATTTCTGGGCTCTCTGTTTTATTCCATTGGTCTATATGTCTGAATTTATGCCAGTACCACACCATTTTGATTACTGTAGTTTTGTACTAAGTTTTAAGATCAGGAAGTGTGAGTCTTCCAGCTTTGTTGTTTTTTTTAAAGATTGTTTTGGCTATTCGGGGTTCTTTGATGTTCCATATCCAAATAGGATGGAGTTTTCTATTTTTGCAAAAAAAAAAAAAATCGTTGGGATTTTGATAGGGATTGCATTGAATCTATAGAGTGATATAGATCAATATAACAGTGAGATTGGTTATTAAGATTCCTTGTATTGCTATCTTAATAATAATATGTCTTCCAGTCTATGAACATGGATATTTTTCCATTTCTGTCATCTTTGATTTTTTAGCAATGTCTTATAATTTTCAGTGTACAAGTCTTCTCCTTCTTAGTTAAGTTTATTCCTATGTATTTTATTCTTTCTGATGTTATTGTAAATTGAATTGTTTTCTTAATTTTCATTTTAGATTATTCATTGTTAGTATGTAGAAATGCAACTGATTTTTTTAAATGTCAGGTGTATAAAACAATGTAATAGTTAGACATTTACACCCCTCACAAACTGATAATCCCCCTCCCCCAATCTATTACCCCTCTGACATCATATATACAATAGCTGTTACAATTCCATTCACTCTATCCCCTATGCTGTACTACACATCCTGTGACTATATAGATAGATAGATAGATAGATAGATAGATAGATAGATAGATAGATAGATATAGATATAGATATATTAAATTATAGTTGACATTTAGTATTATTCAGCTTCAGCTTCAGGTCTACACTGCAGTGGTCAGGCATCTACACTGTCCATGAACTGGTCTCCCTAATAAGACAAGTATCCATTTGACACCCTACAAAATCTTTACAACATTATTGATTCTATTCCCCAAACTATCTTTTGTAGCCCCACAATCTTGTAGTTATTAATTGGTGCTTTCTAATCCCCTCACCTTCTCCCTCATCCCCACCCCCCTCCCATTTAGCAACCCTCAGTTTTTTCTCTATTTCTCTGAGACTGTTTCTGATTAGTTTGCTCATTCTGTTTTTTAGATTCCACATATAAGTGAAATCATATGATATTTGTCTTTGTCTAACTTATTTCACTTAGCATAATGTTCTCTAGTTTCATCCATATTGTTGCAAATAGTAAGATTTCGTTCTTTATGGCCGAGTAATACTCTATTGTATAAATGTACCATAGTTTCTTAATACAGTCATCTACCAATGGACATTTTGGTTGTTTCCATCTCTTGACTATTGTGAATAGAGCTACAATAAACAGGGGTGCATATATTTTTTCAAATTAGCGTCTTGGATTTCTCTGGATAGATATCTAAGAGTGGAATTTCTGGGTCATAAGGTAGTTCCATTTCCAGTTTTTTGAGATACCTCCATACTGATTTCCATAGTAGCTGCAACAATCTGCAATTCCACCAAACAGTGCACCAGGGTTCCCTTTTCTCCACATCCTTGCCA